TAATTTTATATATATGGTAAATAAATAAATAAATTTCTTTAGGTTTCATTATCTTTATATAAAGTAATTTGATATTCATCTACAGTAGAGGAATAAGGTGATTTACTTAAACTGATTGGTGTAATTAAATATAAGATACTGATAATCATTTTTAACGTACATAACTTTATTTTAATAATAAAAATAAGATACATTATAAAAAAATAGTTTAAAATTGTAAAAATAGATGGAATTTAGTATTAATTTTAATATGATGATGAATTCTTCAACAGATTCCCCTTAAATAATGTAGGATTTGGATTCTAAACCGTAGTAAGATTAAATATTGATACTTAAAATTTAGGAATCAATAACTCTAGCCACTATGTGACACAATAATAAGCACATAAGAATTTGAAAGTATAGTGTGGGATGAGACTTACACATATCCAAAACGAATTAAGACGAAATTTTAGATAAAGGTAACTAAAGGAGGCATTAAATACACTACTATTGATGGATCTATTCATAGAATGTAATAATTTGGATTATATTAATTTTTAGAGATGATTTTACAAATATTTAAGAAAACCCATAATTTTGGGTCAATATGGAATAGATTAAATATTGTTAATGGTAAGGAGAATACTAAGAAAATATAAAGAAGATTGGTAAGTGGACTATGACATGGAATGGAAATTTATTAAAAGATGTTGGAGGATAGTACTCAGATAGTGGATAAAAGATAGGATAATGGAAGGAAATCATAAAAAATTATTAGAAGTAAAAATATCAATATTTTAATAATAATAGTTCTGCTTAAGCTTATGAAATTGGAAGTTATTCTAATAATGTGAAAACAGGTATATGGAAGGTTATCTATAATGATAAAGAAATGTTATTTTAATATTTTATTCTTTTAGTGGTGAAGGATCATACAATGAATTTGGTGTTAAGAACGGAAAATGGATTCAATTAAATGATACTTTTTGGAAGTAGTAACCTTTTTGTTTACTTTATTAGTTAGAGTTAAGTTACATTACATGGTGAATATAAAAATGGTACAAAAGTTGGTTAATGGGATATTTATTATCAGGAAGTTGGAAATTCTATATAAATGTATTAATAAATCATTTTATGAAAAATTTTAAGTGGGGGCGGGGTTTATGATTAATAAGGAGATGGACTAAGAAATGGACAATGGATCTAGTTGAGTGAAAACTTTCATAAGTAATTATATAATGAAAAAATATTATGATTTCAGATGGAACCAAATTACATACAATGGTAGGTACTAATGCGATAAGAAAGTTGGTAAATGGGATATTTATTATGGATTAGAATAGATGTATATCAATATAATAAATAAAATTTTATTAAACATTAGAGGTGGAGGATAATATGATGAACAAGGATGCGAATTAAAAATTGGTAAATGGATTGAGCTGAGTGAAAACTTTAGACTGTACTTACATTTAACTATTAGATATGATTAGAAATAGTCAAGCAATTTATGAAGGGGAGTATTGCAATGGAAACAAAGTTGGTAAGTGGAATATATATTTCAGATTTAAAGGAAATAAATTAATGTAAATATTTAGAATAAATTGATAGTGGTGGTGGATCATATGATAATGAAGGTTTACATAAAATTGGGAGGTGGATTGAATTAAGTGATTGTTATGAACAGGATAGATAAGTCACATATCATGGGGAATATCGAAATGGCAAAAAAGTTGGAAGATGGGATATTTATTTCGATAAGATTAATAAACAATATTTAATGTATATTTTAAGAATCAAATTATAGTGGCGGCGGATCATATGATGAAGATGGTTTATATAAAATTGGGATGTGGGTTGAGTGGAGTGAACATGATGGACATATCATATATAATGGTGAATATCGAAATGGTAAAAAAGTTGGAAGATGGGATATTTATTTCTTTAACATTAATAAAAATTATTTAATGTAAAAATTTAAGTAAACTTTAGTGGTGGTGGATTATATGATGAGGAAGGGTTATATAAGATTGGAAGATGGATTGAGGTGAGTAATGGTTTTGAAGTTGATAGATAAGTCACATATAATGGTGAATATAGAAATGGGAAAAAAGTTGGTAGGTGGGATATTTATTTCAAATTTGTCGAAAATAAATAAATGTATGTATTAATAAAATCTTTTTTAGTGGTGGTGGATTATATGATGAAGAAGGTGAAATAAAGGTTGGAAGGTGGATTGAGTTGAGTGATAATTTTCATTAAGGTGAATAACTCATTTATGAGGGATTTTATAAAAGAAGTAAAAAAGAAGGAACTTGGGTATAAAAAAATATTCAGCAGATTTAACCCGCTTGTCTTCTTAACAATCGAAAATGAATAATAATATTAATAAATAAGTTAAAATCATTTGAATATTATCTGATAATACAGGTGTAAGTTAAATTTTATTTATCATTTATAGTTTTTAAATTTATTGAATAATTTTCTCCTTCCTTTATCTTCCTCTTTAAGTAGAGATTTATATAAAAATTTTTAATGGATTTATAATATAATTTAAACCCTTTAGAATGGTTTCTGCAAATAATTTTAATAATTTTAATTGTTCTATTCTAGTGGTTGAAAATTAAGGCAATTTATTGTTAATAATTTTCAATAATTTTGATTTAACTAATTTTTTTTAGAAATTTAATATTGCTTATGAAATTTATCTCATTTGATTTCTTTTTATGTCTATATTGTATAATTGATATTTATTTTGGTCATATTTTAATTTGGAATCAATTTATTATTCTAAATAAATATATGAACTAATAAAATTTATATTCAATGATCAATGGAAAAAGCAAAAAAATATAAGTAGAGAGAGGAAGGCAAGACTAAGTTGAGTTTTTTATAAAAATAATTCAATTATTGAAATACAAATATATAAATATATAAAGGTATATAATCACTATCTCTGTTGGCTTTCCATTAAAGAACTTTAATAGGTAGCAATGCTAGGATTGCCAAAATTAAAGTTAATTTATGTATTTAATAAATAGATTAGGCGTTGGTAATAATAATATATTTTTTGAAATTTATATTCTAAATTTCAAATTTCCAATTACATTAAACTAAATATTAGTTGTATAAAGATAAAGTTGATTTATGCGTAGATTGAGAATCACAGTGCTTTTCTTGTGATTCATTAGAATACATTTATGTATTTAAATGTTATCTTTTAAAGTAATATTCAATTTCTATTACCTTCAATACTACTGTCTTAAAATCATACAATTATTTATTAATGATTTTCGTTCTAAAAATGCCATTAAAATTAAAAGCCTCTAAATACTAGAAATAAAATTATTAAATATAATCAAATTTTAATAGAAAGGATATATTTATTTTTAAATAAACTAATTCATATAAATTATTCTATTCTTATACTTAATTGTATATTTTATATAAATATCAAAACTGGATTTTATAAATGATAATAAATATTTCGTTTGATTAAATTAAGAATGAGTTCGAATTCAGAAATAGGACTCTTCTTCGCAACCAAATAATTTGGTATAAACTTGGCATCATTACTTTATTAAAAAACAAAGTGATTACTTTAGTAATGATAATAATTTTTTGAATTTTTTCTTTATATACATATGTAGTATTTTTAAAATATGGGTTTATAAAATTGTATTTCAAATATAAATACATAATTTTTTTAATTAGATTGTCTCATCAAATTTTTGAGATTCATACTACAACCACACTAAAAATTATAAAAAAAATTGAATTCTTTATTTTTTGATTATAGGGGAAATAAAAAAAATTTATCAATTTGAAAGCAAAAATGAAAAAGATAAAATATAATCCTGATAGGAAATCCAATCTAATAAATGAAAATTCAAACTTAAATGGTTGGATGAACTTTATTCTCACCAGATTCCACTATAATCAAAATTTTATGAGATATCTTGTTAAAAAAAAGATAACTAATCTTTATTCAATCCTTAGTAATGAGGATTGCATTTACCTTATTTTCTCTATTACCCTACAGAATGCCAAAACAGAGATTTTCTCATAATAAAAATAATTATTAATTTTGTAGCATTTTGTTGTTGTTTTTTATATAGTTATAAACATTATCAATATAGACATATATTTGAAGAGATGTTTTTAAAGAAATAGGTGTAAATTACATTCTAATAAAAATATGCCTATGCAACATTCTTATTAATACAAACTTATTGATTTAAATATAATGAATAAACAAAAAAATATTACATGCATAAGAAAAAATGAAACTTATTCAATAATTAAGGAAATAATCACCATATTTCAAAAGAAAGAATCTCAATTAAAAATAATAAACATATTTAGTAATTATTCGAAAAAAATACATTTTAAGCAAGTTGTATCAAAACTATAGCCTATTTTAGTTTAAGATTTAAAAGAATTTATGTTTAAATTAGGTAAGCTACAAATAAAGACTTATATACTTAAAAATCATATTCATAAAACATAAAAATTATATTTTTTGTCCTTTAGATTTGTTATTGAAGGATGAATTATTGACTATATTATTGAAATTTTGAACTAAATAATAATGATTATTATCTAAGTAATTCAATTATTTATTGAGGGTAGTGGAATAAAAAAATGAGTTTTTATAACAAAGTTTGTTCAGATAACATTTAATTTTTAGATATATTAATTATTATTATTATAATTAGTATAAAATTAATTTATTGATTATATTGAAAGAATTTATTAAAAAAAATATGGAATAGTTATGCTTTATTAATATATATTATTCATTTTAATATTCCTATGATTGTAAAACTTAGGAAAGTAATTTAATATTAGAAAGTATACTATAATCAAAGTGTTCAATTTCTATTATTATCGAATTTGAACAAAATATAGATCTTCCTGACGAATTATAAAGATTATTATTGTATTAAATTTATTTTAATATCTTATAATGCAATCCCCTCTTAAAACAATTGAAAGTTTAGACTAAACAAATGCTTACCAAATGCCAGATTATGTAAATAGTACTAAGAGTACAAGTTGCTTAGATATTTTGGGAACTTAGAGCGGAATTTACATTTAATAAACATTTAAGTAATTCTATATGGGATTAAACGAATTTAAAGTATACGGTGCTAATCATTTAGGAGAGGAAATAAAATTTAGATAATTATTCAAATGTTATGAGTAATCTTCAGATTGCACAAGATTTTGGTTAGGGTACTTTCTTTCAATTATTTAGTCCATAAATAAGGCCATTTGAGATGATGGTAGATAACTATTAATATAAAAGTTTTTATTCAAATATTAGTTATCAATAGAAATAAAATTCTGATCTAACTATTTTTAAGTTTAAAAGAGAATACTAATGCACTTTCTGTTGTTTTAATAGGTATTTATATATATAAATATTAGGCCTCGTCTTGAGGTTCATTATGTAGAAAATGGTTAAAACATATTTTTAGGATACATTAGTGATCCTGTTTATTGTTGCTAAATTGGAAGCAATATTTTTAATTCTAATGGCGATTTAATATTTAAAATAGAAGCAAATACTTGCCAAAGTTATTTTTGGTTAAGGTGTCCATGCAGTGTGGAATGTAATAAAATTAATTTTTAAATTAAACTTCCAACAGGATAAATGGGTAAAATATATATAAATTAATATTATAGTTGCTCCTATATAAAAGTAGATTAAAACTTGTCTTAATAGTTAATAAAATAGATATTCTGATAATATAAATATTCTTTTCCCTAAGTAAGCATCAAAAGAAGATAAAGCTTTAATACTAGCTGCCACAATTATGATTGAATTCATGTATTTTGAAAAGGATATCGTTTGATTAATGAAATGTTTATGATTCTTGCCAGAATTAATATAAAATTACATTTAAAAGTTTTCATTTTATAATGTTTTTTATAATAAATATAAGTTATAGAGTTCTTATTGATGTATATTATTTGCTTTAAATGATATTCTTCAACAGTTTTCTCAGGTTAACAAAATAATTATCATTTAATTTAAATAATATATTTAATTAATTTAAACTTAAAGAATATTAACCAATTATAGGTGTAGAGTAATTTTACAAAATTTGATAAAAATTTTGGAAGAATGCTTTAATTTTTGTTTTCACTTAATAATTATTTTTGTATTAAATTGAGATATTTTATGAATGGAAATTTCTAACTTTCAATTATTTAAACAAAGCGCAAATCATTCATATTCATCATAATTAATAAATAATATAAAATAATTCATATTATTCAACATTTATTTATAAAATTTATAATAATTTATAAAGTCAAACTAAAATATGGAATCGTTTAGTAATTCAATATCAATATCTTTTGATATTAAATAATTCCTTTTAAATTATTATTCTCTTAAAAAAAATGAACAAAAACTTAAACTACGACAATTAGTTCTTAAATTAAAATACTTAACAATAATATATAGTCTTTTGAAACATAAGGAAGAGAAACTTAGAAGCGAATTTATTTTTAATGTATTTAAGTCAAATTTTACTTTAGACCAGGTTGAATTTTAAGATTCTTAAATTAGAGCTCACCTTATTAAGAAAATGTATAATTTTCTGGGTTTGGCTGTTTTAGGTCTTTCCTCAGATTTAAAAAAATGGCTTTTTTACAAAGTTACAGAGGTTCTTATATGTTATTAAAATCCACCCTAAAGTGATAATTGGAATTAGTCATTTCCTTAGGTGTTATTATTTCTGTAATTAATTTTCTTTGGATTTATAAGAAAAGCAATAAGTATATATAAGGCATTTCAGATTTAAGGATAACTGGTGTTATTCTCTATGGGAATGACTTTCCTGATGGTAATTTCTTTTATGATTTACTTAAATTTAGATATAAAATAAATTTCTTTCAAAAGTATTATTCATCATTCCATTTTTTATAGAATGTTCAATTTTAATTTTTTTCGCAGCTATTACGATGATAATTATACTGTAATATATTAGACATTTTGATTTCTTGGAGAACTTTTTAATTTTCTTATTCAGTACATTCTATGTATTCTATTTGATATTAGAAACAAATTTGATCATGTGTAAAGGAGTAAGGATTTATTAAGTATAATTAGAACTTAAAATTGTAAAATGATGACTATTTGATTGGATCTTTTTTGCTTAATGCTCTTATGATAAAACCATTAGTGAGAATACTTTACATTATCTATAATGCTTTAGGAAGGAAAAATATATGAAAATAATATTAAAAAGTCAATATATAAATAATATTTTTCTGAGAATATTATTATATTTTGCACATTTTACAAAGTTAATATTTGTACCTCTTTTAATCAAACTTATTTTTAGTTAATATTATTATTTTATTTTGTTAGATCTTTTAAATAACTTAATATTTATTGATTTCAAATTTATAAGCATTCATCAATTACATTTCTATTTTAATATACTTTTATTAAATTTTTTATATCTATTGTTGAGCAAATACCTTTAGATAAATGTAATGACTTCTTTATGTTTAAGTTTTTGAAGTGATAAAGTTAATTAAATAAATAGAGAGGTTAAATACACAAAGGATCTGTGGCTCATTCGTTAATATAAAGTACTAATAAGATGAGTGAGATTGTAATCATGATGTGTTTAATAAGAAATAATTAGAGTTGATGTGATCGCATTAAATATAATATTAACATTTTAATAAATAAAAAGAAAGAAAGTATGTAATCAATTAATTTATTAAAATATTTAATTTCTTTGTCATTAAATTGAAAATTATCCAAAATTTTAATTTTTGAATTTTAACAAAAACCCAAAAAATGGAAATAGTTCTTAAATGATGCATTTAAGTCAAATTACTTAAATTAAAATGATAATTATTTACTATGACCGATCATCTTTAAAGATTAATACAATATTTTATTAAATAAACTCTATCATCATTTTTTTAATGGACGATTTTCTATTTATTTAATCACAAACTAACATTAATTTTATATTTTTTAATATGATCAAATAAATTTGTTAATTGATATGGAACTTGAGGATGAGAAATAATTATACCAATTTTTCTATGTATTTGGAATATAATTTAACAGCTTTACAAGATTTAAAGCATATTAGTTTTAACATTATTTTTCTGTTCTGGATTAGGGTATTTTAATGACCATTTAATAATTTATTATATCCATAAAATTGAAATCGTTGTCAATGCATATTCATTTTTTTAAATATAATAGATATAAAAATAACATTGTTTTCTAAGCTTTGGTAGAATTATTTGTTTTTAAAATAAATTAATATACAAATATTCTAATTTAATCAGAATTATTAATTAAAATATTCCTTGTAGGAAAATTAATGATTATATGAAAATAAAAATAAATAAAAAAATCAAACTTATGAATTAATATCAATGGGAAATCCTTTTTCATAATTAACATCTAATCAGAAACCTTTATATCTCATGATAGGATTGGATGCTGCAGGAAAAACAACTATTTTATAAAAACTAAAATTAGGAACAGTGGAAAGCTAAACTCCAACGATAGGATTTAATATAGAAAAAATATAAAGTAAAAAATTTGAAATAATATCTTGGGATATTGGAGGAGCAGATAAATTAAGAATAACTATGAAACCTTATTTTTAAAATAGTAAAGGAATAATTTATGTTATTGATTGTTTTGATAAAGAAAGAATGGATGATGCAAAGCATCAATTACAAAAAATTTTGCTTGACTCTTTACTTATTGGATAACCCCTTTTAATTTATGCAAATAAATAAGACCTAGTAAAAATGAATTCAATAGAATTAGAGATAGAATTGATGATACAAAATCTTTCTAAAAATTGGCATATTTAACCATGTTGTGCAATTACTGGTGAAGGGCTTTAAGATGGGTTAAATTGGATTCAAAAATAACTATTGCTCAAATGAAAAATATATTATTAATGAAAAGAGTTCCAGTATAAATATGTAATTAGCTGTTTAGATAAATCTAGACTTTTAATATTGTATAAGTTATTGTTATGAATATAAATTAAAATTTTTTTTCGATTTTCCAATTAGTATCTCAATAATGAAAACATTATCTTAATACTTTATCCTAAGAATTCTACGATTCTAAAATTACGATTAAATTTCTGAGGTATATTCAGATTAATGATTCATAATGGTAGTTGATCTTAAAAGTACATACAAAGAATGAATTTTCAGCCTTTTAGACTGGAAAAGCAGAAAATCTTATAAATTATAAAATAACTTTAATATAAATAATTAGAAATTAATCACATTGTTCTGTTTTTACAAAATAAGGATGGTATTTAGTCAAAATGAAATCAATTATATTTAACTAAATTGAGTAATAGAATTCTATGATTATTTTCTGAATATGTATATATTTAATTTTCTAATTAATATGATGACTTTATATGAATTTTTATTGATTTATTAAAGGATATATTTATTTTATTTATTTATATACTTTTTACATTTCCAAAGAATACAAATTTGATTAAAATTGACTTTCAAACAAAATTTGTTTGCTTTTACTAAATTTATTATTTTATGAAAATATGAATTAAATTTAATATTTTATATATTATATCAATTGGAAACTTCAAAGAATTTTTGATATATATTATAAAATTCTGTTTTTATCTTCAAGTAATCTAATCCATTTTTTTTTAGATAATTAATTGCTTTTTAATAAATTAATTACCATGAAGCTATATCATTTTAGCAATTCAATTCTAAATAAAATAAAGCAATAATTGTTGTCCATAAAATGTCTTCATAATGATTATCATTAGTTAAACAGCTGAGTTTTATTGAATCAGCTATCCTTTTTTCTAAAATAAAGCTTCCATTTGCTTATACACATTATAGTAAATCAATATAATTTATTAAATCAGCTGATTGTTATGAATTTTGAAAACTTGATTGTTCTCCATATTCATAATCATTTTACATTTCCATTTCCTCTTGCATAATTTCATTCTCTATATCATCTCTACTGAGACAATATTCCATACATATGTGTTTACTAGAAAAATCTACAGGCGAAATATAATCACTATCAGATTTTAAATCATAAAAATTAGGTTAATAAGTTTGAAATTTGATCACTCCATATTTTATTTTATTATTTTAATAAATTATTTTTTCTTTAATTAACTATTTAAACTAATCTTCCAAATGGCAGACTTCACAAATATATGCCGTTTTACTGCACAAGATTTGATTTGATATGGATAAATTGATGATGTCTTCATTATTCAATATCTCTTAATTGATCTTAATTTTATTGATTTATTTTATGTTATTTTCAAGGGAATCCTCATAATAATTTATCAATTTATGAGCTGCAAGTTTATGAAAATAATCTTATTATTATGATTCACTTATTTTCATTTTGTATATGTGCGATATTTGCTTTTATTTTTAAGGATCAAAACAATTGATCTAAAATTCTAGTGTTTCTGAAACGGGTGTTGGAAATAATATTTATATCAATAATTCTTCATTTTTTTTAATAGTAGTAATATATTCCGGATCAGGTATAATTTGCGATATATTTATTTCTGGTAAATCTAATTTAAATCCCTATAAATATTAAGTCATAGAATTTTCTAACATATCAATTACTTTAGCATTGATGACTTCATCATCTGAAACAAATTAACATTTACCATTTCCAATTTCTGCAATTTTTTTTAATAAATACTAACTACATCCATCTCCAATTCCTAATGTATAAATTCTAAAATTAGGTTTAGTTTAATTTTAAACTAACTCTAAAATTTTATTTGGAGAATCCTCTCCATCTGTCAATAGAAAAACATTATAAGTTTCTGAATCACTTTTACTATCTTCATCATTATATATGCCATTTTTCAGTGCTTCATATATATTAGTACCTCCTAAATCTGCCTAAATTTTATTTACTTATGAGATTGCTTCATTTAAGGTTTACTAATTATATTATTAGGGTTTTTCAAACATTTTTACTGATTTGGTTCCGAATGATATAACATTAAAAAAGCAATCTTCAGGTAAACTTTTTAAGAATAAATTTAATGATTGTTTTGCTTTATTTATTCTTTTTCCTTCCATTGAACCACTTCTATCAATAAAAAAATAATAATTTCCTCTATTTGCTTTTGTTTCTGTAGGTAAATTTAACCCATTTAGGAAAGATGAATAAGCATCATCTAAAGATACTTCATTAAATTTTGGGATCAAAGTTAATGTTGCACAATATTTAATATGTTATAAAGCATCATTATTAGTATGAGTAAGAAAAGAATGAGGTTAATTGATATCATCAGATGAAAGTAACAGCTCAAATTTTTTATTTGGGGCAAAGTTATCTGGAAATTTATCATCAAGAATGATTACTTAACCTTTTGTAAAGTTTTATTTAATTTATTAATGATCATCAGGATTAATGATAATTTAATGGGTTGGTGATTTTACAAATGTTATTGGTTTCTATAAATTAATGTATGTTGTTATGTATTATCTATAATTTTACTAGAAACCTTGAATATCCACACTTTGTTATATTTGTTTATATAATTAAGGATAATTGACTGATTAGTTTTTTAACTAATAGACTGTAAGATAACTTGAATCTACCATTGGTGATAATTCAAGCATCCAAAATTAATTTAAATACACTTTTAAAGGCTGAATATATTCAAAAGTTATTTTTAAAGATTTTCCAGGAGCTAAACAACCAATCTTTACTTTTTTTAAATCAGTTATTTATTTATCCTATTCACCTAAAATCATAGTTTTTCCAGCTTATATGCCTTGTTGATATTCTTTTTTTGCTTCCTTCAATTCTTTTACAATGCCAAAGACTTTTATATCACCTAATTCTGCTACCATCTTACTAACAACTGAATCCTTTTAGATAGTAAACATATATTCTAATTCAATTGGAACTTCATAATGCTATGTGTTATAATTCTATTATATTTCAACAATTGCCAAACCAGGTTAGACATTTACAATATNTAAATACTAACTACATCCATCTCCAATTCCTAATGTATAAATTCTAAAATTAGGTTTAGTTTAATTTTAAACTAACTCTAAAATTTTATTTGGAGAATCCTCTCCATCTGTCAATAGAAAAACATTATAAGTTTCTGAATCACTTTTACTATCTTCATCATTATATATGCCATTTTTCAGTGCTTCATATATATTAGTACCTCCTAAATCTGCCTAAATTTTATTTACTTATGAGATTGCTTCATTTAAGGTTTACTAATTATATTATTAGGGTTTTTCAAACATTTTTACTGATTTGGTTCCGAATGATATAACATTAAAAAAGCAATCTTCAGGTAAACTTTTTAAGAATAAATTTAATGATTGTTTTGCTTTATTTATTCTTTTTCCTTCCATTGAACCACTTCTATCAATAAAAAAATAATAATTTCCTCTATTTGCTTTTGTTTCTGTAGGTAAATTTAACCCATTTAGGAAAGATGAATAAGCATCATCTAAAGATACTTCATTAAATTTTGGGATCAAAGTTAATGTTGCACAATATTTAATATGTTATAAAGCATCATTATTAGTATGAGTAAGAAAAGAATGAGGTTAATTGATATCATCAGATGAAAGTAACAGCTCAAATTTTTTATTTGGGGCAAAGTTATCTGGAAATTTATCATCAAGAATGATTACTTAACCTTTTGTAAAGTTTTATTTAATTTATTAATGATCATCAGGATTAATGATAATTTAATGGGTTGGTGATTTTACAAATGTTATTGGTTTCTATAAATTAATGTATGTTGTTATGTATTATCTATAATTTTACTAGAAACCTTGAATATCCACACTTTGTTATATTTGTTTATATAATTAAGGATAATTGACTGATTAGTTTTTTAATTAATGGACTGTGAGATAGCTTGAATCTACCATTGGTGATAATTCCAGTTTCCAAAATTAATTTAAATAAACTTTTAAAGGCTGAATATATTCAAAAGTTATTTTTAAAGATTTTCCAGGAGCTAAACAACCAATCTTCACTTTTTTTAAATCAGTTATTTATTTATCCTATTCACCTAAAATCATAGTTTTTCCAGCTTATATGCCTTATTGATATTCTTTTTTTGCTTCCTCCAATTCTTTTACAATACCTAAGACTTTTATATCACCTAATTCTGCTACCATCTTACTAACAACTGAATCCTTTTAGATAGTAAACATATATTCTAATTCAATTGGAACTTCATAATGCTATGTGTTATAATTCTATTATATTTCAACAATTGCCAAACCAGGTTAGACATTTACAATATAATGTACCGATTAGAGTGATATTGGTAATTTATTCACAACATCAAAACAAATAAATAAGGAAGGAGCCTAAATTTCAGAGAAATTTGATTTATCATGATGCAAATCCCCATCAATATTTGGATGAAACATAATTACTATTAAAATTTATATTATTAATCGTCCTTCTTAAATTATGCATTTATACTAAAAATTTAGATTTAATTAATCAGATTTAAATAGAAAATATTCTACTTAATAATGAGATATAATTTTTATAAATCATTAGTTTAAATTTTAAAAAGCTTCTATTTCTATTATATAATTTCTGATTGAATAGAATAATTAATTTTATATCAATTCAAATAATTTCTAATGATTATATATGAATATCAATTATAATATAAGAGTGTTAATTATACTACTTTAACGATTCATTTTAATTATTCCCAAAATAATTCTATTTTAGTTTTTTTGTATGGTTTATCCTACTCAACTATTTTCATATTAATAATGGTCCAATTATACATATAATTAACTATCTGTAGACCTTTTCAAGGCAATAATTTAGAATTAATAATGATTTACATACTTTCTACTAAGCATTACCTCATTAAAACACCTATGCATAAATTGAATGATATATTTAAAAAATTTATATTTAGAATTAATTCACATAAGTTCATATCCTCAAATATTCAATTACATGGATTCCGAAGCATATCTGTTGATTTAAGTATAATATAAGATATGATTTAAGAATAAAAAGAATAGATTATGTGAGACAAGATTACTTTATTGTATTTGTATATATTTATAATAAAACAAAGTATTTATGATATCATTAATGAACAGATTATTTATTTTGTAACTCAACTAAAATTAATCAATTTTAAATTTCTCTACCTATTAGCTTTCCAAATATATTTAAAGTAACAGTGTTACAAAATTATTAAAAATAATTAATCTATATTCAAGTAATATATGTAGATAAAATTTAAGGATTATTAAACTCTTTTAGCTTTAAGCTCTAAAAAAAGAAACTTTTAACGTTTCCTATATTTAAAATTAGACTATATATCCTTCTTCAAATAAATTGATTGCAAATTCGAATGATTTCACTAAATGGATAGAGATTTTCTGAAGACATGACTCTAAAGTTTAAAAGCGATTTATTTTATAGAATTATTTTTATTGTTATGATAAATTAATCAAATAAACTATATAAGAATTACTAAAAAATTATGCTTCTAAATAGAAATTCAACTTGACTTTGAACATAATTGTCTAAGAAAAAATTATTTTAGAAACTATTTCCTTTCCCATTTAAATAAAACTTGACTTTCATCTATTTCAAAACCTAATTACTCTGCTAATCCACTTCAAAATACTTTTTGTGTTTAAACTAAGTAGTTTTATAAGATTATTGAATATGTAAAATATGAGTTTACTCTTTTCTAGTCATAATTAATAATTTTAATTTGATTTAAATTCAATATTTATTTTTTATAAAAATTATTGAGGAATAGTTTTAGTTTATTATATATATGTCCTTTATAATCAGTAAGAATATTTATTACGTATATAATGATATTCAGATAAAAGATTTAAACCCTCTAATTATATAAAGACTATTAAATTCACTATATACATATGCAATGATGGTAAAAAAGACTTCCAATAACTTTAATGATAGGTATAGTTTGGCATTTATTTAATAATTTATTTCTTATTATTGACAAACTAATTTATATTTTATAAAGCCTATCATGTAGCATATTATATTATTGTGAATTTAATTATGGCTCAAATTGAAAATTCTATGCCTAATGCACAAACTTTAATAAAAACATTCACACAATGTAAAATTGCTGCTCAAGAAGTTACTGACTAACTAATATGAAATATGACTCATAATATGGTCCAATTAATAAATATTTTGACCTTATAATTTGATAATTTGCTTCAGTAATTGACAGATTTATAAGGGAGAATTGAAATTATTTCTCAAAAATAAAAGAAAATTGAGTCCAAGTAAAAGGAGATGGTTGTAGAGTAATAGGGGAATCTATTTTCTAATTTT